GTGCGCGCGTGCGTGCGTGCGCGTGCATGTGGGTGATTTGTTCTTGCTGTTGTTTTTTCTAGCGCCGGGGTGCTTGGCTTTTTGCTTTTGCTGCCGGGGGGGGTGTTTGTTTTCTTGCTGTTGCTGGTCGGGAGGTGTTTGGTTTTTTTTTTGGGGGGGAGGTTATTTTGCTGTTGCTTCCGGGGGTGTTGTTTTGGTGCTGTTTGGGCCCCACCGGCAGTTCACTGACTTGCTGGTTTGTCGGGGCTTCAGCTGCTGAGCAAAACAACAAAAAAGCAGCAACAGCAAAACAACAACAGAACCCGTCCCTCCCCCGCTTGGTTCAGAAAGGCGTCTCTTAACATTCTAAGATTCTATTTCTTGTGCCGAGCAGTGCCCAGCCTTCTTGGCCTCATGACAGCAGTACGTGATCACAACGGTGATTGCACCAAAGGCCAAGGTCCATTCCTGGGCTTCAGCTCGCTTCAGCTCTTTCGGCCCATCGCGCCACTCCGAGAGACCAGGCTTTTCACCAAGGAGCCAAAATCACCATTACGAGGGACCCAGGCTCCATTAGCACCCCAGGGGTGAATGTCCAGTCGTATGTGAAGTGTCGGCTCGCGCCCTGCAGCGAGGGGGCAGTCCCCACATGCCCTAAGACTCTAAAGAGACCGGAAGACAGAGGAGGATCCTCAAACCAAGCATTTGCTCGGCCTGCAAAATCGCAAACTCGCTGAGCACAAAGTAGTAGCCAATGTAGGCCATCAGCGTCATGCCTGTGAGCAGCGCCGCTTGCTGACTTCTGGCTCATCTACATCAAGAAGAACACCGTGATGTAGCCGAGCGCGCAACCACAACACCGAACCTACTGTCCAGCATTGGGACACACTATAGCCCCAGACTTCACGGGTTTGCCTAGGCAGCGCCAGGGCAGAAGGAACCTCAGTGACGCAGTCTACGCAAACCTCTGCGACAACAACTTCATGTTACCTGGTGTTGGCACGCGCCTCGCGAGTAGCCGGCAAATCCGTGGCATGCGCAGGTAAGCATGCGTGTCGACATGCACGTGCTGGTATATGTCTGTGACACATGTCCGCTTGCACGCGTGCGCTTGTGTTCTGTATGCATCTCTTGTCAATAGGCCTGATTGACACATGCTTCTTCCATCCAGCCATCCATCATGCATCCATGTACAGTCATCTAGAGTCCTGGACAAGGGAGCTGGAAGAGAAAGGCTGTCCCCAGCGCCAGCAATGCGGTCCCGGAGTGAAGCCAAAGGTAGTCGCCTCTCGTGGCATCGGATAGCTCTGTCCTAGTGAGGTGTTTTTCGCAAGGCACCTGTACCAGAACCCCGAAAGGCCCAAAAAGCAAACTAGCTCTGACCAGGAAATCAAGGTGCCTGGCAACGTGTCTGGCAGCAGGGCTAACAGCAGGTATCCCCAGCTCATGGTACCGACCTCGGAAATACAGCCAATGGGTCTTATGAACCTCTGGCATCGAAACGAAGCATTGTCGGCGAAGAAGCTGATTCTCGAAGTGGTCTGCGCATGCAACCCCATAATGTGAGATCACATTGAGATCCTATATGTGGGGGCAAGCTGCGGAAGCACTACGTCGCTGCGATTGTTGCAGCACATGCAAAGGGCCTAACAACATGACAACAGTGTGCGTGCGTGCGTGTGCGCAAAGCCGAGAACATGCACGAGAGGTCTGATGCCGAGCTTCGAAGATGTCACGCCAGCATTCCCGCGCCTCGGCGCACTCATTCAGAACGCTCGGAACCGGGCTAAAGATTGCACCCTGCGCTCCAAGGGATGGGAGCCGCACTCGGATCAGTAGGGAGCCCTCTGCTGCAGGACCCAGTGACAGAAGCAACCTCGGTCGTGAGAGCATGAAGCAGTTCTGAAACAGGACATGAGGTCTCCGAGCTGCGGGCCAAAGCCAAGATTGCCACACTACCCGTGGCTCCATGCCTTCGCCGTCGCCCCAGATGCCATTGAAGCTCTCTGAGATCCAGCAGATGTAAGGCAGTGTTCCTGCAGCGCCAAGTCCGTCAACACATGCCTTCCTACATCTATCGACTTCCTGCGAGCGCAGAGCGCCCGAGACAGTTCGCAGCAATGTCTTACCACTAATGACACGCCAGAGATAACTGAAACACTGCTTGTAACTAGAATTGGTGGTGATGGTGATGGCGACGCCGATGATGACGATGATGGTGCTGATGCTGCTGATGATGCTGATGCTGATGCAGAGGAGCCACCATGGCGGCGGTGACGACGGAGAATTTTCTGATTGCGAGAACTCTCCTGGCCCGCCCCTCCGGTCCTCCGCAGATGCATTTGAAGTCCACATAGGGCCGACCACCAAAGCCGCACTGGACCAGCACATCACCTTCCCACAGCCGGAGGAGAAGGATGATCAGCAAGATGAAGGCGAAGCCGGCCTCAGGCGGCTGAAAATTGATGCGCTCGCTGCCTTTCTTTCGATACATTCAAAGAGCTTCTAGACTGAGTGAGAGCAGAGTATGCAAGAACAGATGGCCCTGTGATGCCACGATGCATGTCCCAAGGCGAGTAGACAAAGTGCGGCAAAGCGAAGCTGCGCCATTGAGCTTGGGCCAGCAGCTCGTGTTACACAAACAGCAAGTGAGCTGTGGCTATGGCAGCTATGGCCTCAGCACAAGCCCTCAAGGCGTGGCTTTGACTGTTGCTCTCAGAGGTCCGACGGGTTTCATGGCTACGGCACGAGCCGTGGCCGGTGAGGTGAGACGCTGGCAAATTCGACTTCTGACCTCACTGGTCGACCGCTTTGACCGGGCGGATCCGGATCTAGGCAGAAATGACCACACAACATGTGGGGCAGATGGCCACAGCGGCGTTGCCGGTGGTGTTGCCTTTGTCAGCCCGCAGCAAATCCTCCGTGAAGCATGAAGCTCTTTTGCGGATCTCTACTCTCCGCAACTCCTGTCCTGAGGATCCTCGATGGTGCGCTTCGCCTTGCAGTCTTGGCATGTCACCTTACGAACAGCTGACAGCTGGACAGCTACAGTAGACTCAGTAGACTCAGTAGACTCGCCCCGGGCTCCGGACGAAGATGTGCTCGGGCTTGCGGCCAGCCAAGACAATCTCCGACATGAAGCCGATGCGCCTTCGGGCTCCCGGCATGTGATAGCCTGTCTGGCCGTGTCTAGCTGCCGCAGAGCTGCCGGAGCTTCGCGCCCTCCACCTGAGGCAGGAAGCCCTTGGAAGCACCTCATTATGCCTCTGCCTTCGGACTCCCGCCTTCGTGCCCGCGAAAGTGGAAAAGATGGGCGTGCCCTTGGCAACCATCTCCCGCACCGCGCCGCCAGCGGGCTCCCCTACGTGCAGCCAGGGGAGGTCCTCGTTTCAGCTCTCAAAGCATGTCCTATAGAGGTCCCCAAAGAGGCCGAGGGACGGCGAAGGGATCTGAAGAGTCCGCGGGCTCCGCGTCCTCTCGGGAGCCCGAGAAAAAAACGGCTCGCGCCGTGCTTTCCGGCGGCGGTCTCCCCCCGCTCCACGCGCCCCGCGCCGCGCCTCCTCGGAGCGGACGGATCGCACTTCGGGCACAAAGTGCTTCAAGGTCTTCAGGATGCTTTCCTGGCAGAGTGCCAGCTTGACAAAGCAAGGCCATGAATCCACTTGGGATCGTGCCTGCAGGGTCACCGCACTCTGCGGGCAGCCGCGGCAAGCGCCCTCAAATGTGGGCAATTTTACGGCGTGCAAGCATTTCTGGTCTTGCACTGGAACGCCTTCAGCTGTAGCACCACCTCGCCGGTGGCTGGATCCCAAGCCTCGACTGTTTTCGGATCTTGCTGACTCTGACTCGCTTCGACAGCTTAGGCCGCCTTCAGCTCCACGTCGCCCCCGTCGTCTTGAACGGAGGGACGGATCCGGTTCAGGAGCACCTGTCTCTCAGAGTCCACTGCAATCTCAGGCGTCGGGCCCATCCTAGCCCCTTCCCCCCTTCCTTGGCCTCCTCAAGCAGAGCTCTTCCAGGTGCAGAGGCCGGGTTTTCGGGGCTCTGGGCGCCCTCAGACCCCTCACTCTCCGGGCTCTCCTGCCGAGAAGTCGGCTGCCACAGCGAAGAGCACCGGCGCTCCTTCCTGCCTCCTCGGGCAGCGCATGGAGGAGGTCCTGCACCTGTGCCGACAACCTGTGCGCACAGCCGTGGAAGCTCAGAGTGACCCAGCTGGCACAGCTCACAGTCGAGGCACTGCTTCCAGTCGGCGCCCTGCTGCCGCGTCACAGCGAGCCACGAGCTGCCCTCCGCGGCCGAGCCACCGACAGACCGACACACCGAAACCCAGCGCGGAGGCCTCGCCGACGAAGACGTCGCGCACGCCGGGCAGGTCCAGCAGCTCGTGCCGGGCGCGGAGAGGAACGCGTGAGGAGCTCCTCGGGTCAGGGACTCCGAGAAGTCCGAAAAGTCCGCGAGCCCTTCCCGGGCCGCAGACGCGAACTTCCACACATTCGGGTTCGGCGTCTCCTTGCATCGAAAACGGCCACTCAGTCTCTGCTCCGGGTGCAGCAGGGCCCTCTCCTGCACTGCCCAAGTCCCGGCTGCCCGGACAGGCCGCCTCGAAAAAAACGGCGCAACTTCCTAGCACATTCCCCGCCAAACAGTCCCAAGCCTCCAATGCCTGCACTTAAAAGCGATCGCATCCAGCGCGACAGCGCGCCGCATGATGCACGACTTGCCTTTTGGTTGCCTCGCTTGTGCTAGCTTTCCGCGCCTGGAGTATACTACACCTGCCACCGCAGCCTGCACATGCTTTGCCCTCCATTGTACTTCCTTAGCACTAGTGTTTGCATGCTTTCACCCTGGCTATAGTGAAGGAAGTTGTCAAGCCACATGTCGTTGTGTTGGTACACCTCGTCCCGGCAAAACGGCTGCAAGACAGAGCTCTCTTGCTTGTAGCGGCCTGCAGTATGTACTTCCATACACCATGACCTCCACACACGCACTTGAATCAACCCTGACAACATCACTGCATTTTCCGATCGCGGAACTTGGAAGAGGCGGGGGAGATTCCAGCAAGCACAGGTGTCAGGGCTCGAAGAGCTGGATCGCCTCACAGACATGCGGCGAGCCGGAGAGTTCAAACGCCCTTTTTGGTGCTTAGCACCGCTGGCACCGCTGTGCGGGCCTTGATTGCCTCTTCGTTGGGCCCCGCGTCCCAGTCTCGACCGCGCTGGGCGAAGTCCAGGGCAGTGAGGCCCTGGCCGCGGTCTCGCAGCAGTGGGTCAGCCTTGCCCTCGATGAGAGCCTTCGACGATACGCCGCGTGCCCGAGACTCAGACCTCCTTTGAACCTCCTGTCGGTCTGAGGCTCCGGCCCGGACGATGTCTGCATGGCCGAGGCGCGCTGCATGATGCAAGGGCGTCAAGCCCATCTCGTCGTACCGGTTGATGTCTACGGCTTTGCGCATCTTGGGATTGTGCAGATAATCCTGGGAACAGGACTGGGAAACCGGAGGGCCGTTCTGGCAGGCCGGGGGTGGCCATGGGCTCTACAGATCGCTGGAGAAGCAGCTCCTCCACCACATCCAGGTGGCCATCCTTCACAAGAAATCATGCTCACGGCCGTCCCTGAGCTAAGGGGCACCTACCGCAAGCAAGAAGCAGCTAGAAGCCATGCGCCCCTTTGGCATGCGATAGCCTTCGGAATCCCTGTCCTGCAATCGCCAAAGGAAACGCTGCTGATCAGCGGGGACGCACCCAAATTCTCTCTTCTGCTGCGTCTTGGTCAACGGGTATTCCCAGCCACGCTTGCCTCAAGAGCAGAACTGGTCCAAGGAACGCGTTGGCTACAGTGCCTGGCCAATCGATCAACATGCAGCCTGGAAGTGAAATGGCAGCTTGCCACGAGGCTTGTGACTTTTGACAAGAGGCGATCTTCTTCCGTGATGGTCGCATTCATGTCATCGTCGCTAAATTCTGGCTCTATGCCCGCGTACTTGCTCTTGGCTGCTGCAACCTGCAAGAGTCATCCACAGAAAAGGGGAGCTCACACAAGCATGTACAGTACAGCGGTAGTTAGAAAAAGGTATAATTGGACAGAGACCGATTATTGCTTTGCAAAGGGAAGAGGGAGGAGGCTCTACTTCTGCCTCCTTCTCATAGCGCTGCCGGAAGCCCGCCACTTTGTCGGAGCCGGCTCGGGCGCGGTTTCGCTCCTCTGCCAGGGACGGATCTTCCGAGATCCAAGGAGGAAAGAAAGAGCTAGCTAGAGGGGCAGAGACATAGAGAGAGAGAGAGGAAAACGACAACGTGGAGAGCCAGAGCAAGTGAGGGAGAGGGAGGGAGGGAGGGAGGGAGGGAGGGAGAGAGAGAGAAACAGAGAGGGGAGCGCGCCGAAGGAGACTTGCCCTGTCCTCAGCTACATCGAGTACCAGCTTGTGGCTCGGAGTGTGGAAGGCGAAGGTAAGAACTGGGTCTTCCTCTGCCGCACCTGCACGAGCTTACCGTACCATCTCTGAAGCCCTAAGAGCCTAAGACCCCTGAACCATACCCACCTTCATAGTACAGGAGGCCATCCCCCGAGTAGTTCGCCATTTCGAGCCAAAGCTGCACAAATGTGGAAAGTGAGCTTGGGCTGGTTCACGCAGGATTCTGGGATTCTTATGCAGCTGCGATGTAGCCTCTTTTGCGGGTGTGCGCGGGTGGGCTCTGCTCTGCTGCATCCGACTACATGTGCTCAGGTTTGTCCATGTTTGTCCATACAGGGATTGGAAACATGCAAATGGCATGTGCCTTGGGTAAAAACTTCAATCCCCAACAATCCGAAGAGGCTCTAACGCTCTCAGCGCAGGTTCCGACACCCTCACTGCTAGCTCCCAGACGTATACGAGAGAGCGGACAGAGGAAGGCCCCAGCGCCCATCGCCGCCCGGTGCCCGTCGCGACCTGTGAGATGAAAGGATTTCGAGACCCAGTCCCTTCACACCCCTCTGTAAGCTCGCCTTGACCGCCGTGGCGATCTTAACGGCGTCGACAACTGTCTCCTTAAGAGAAACCGCCAGAGTGTTGACATGATGCTTTTCAGGGAAGGGCGAGTCTGCTTTTCCGGCAAAACAAGCTTCAGACCCGAAACGTCTGCTCCTGGTTATGTGGGGCTTTCAAGGCACCCTGCCGAGTGGCTGGAGTCGTCCCTGCGCCCTCGAGGCCTGAGCAAGCTAAGTTCCTACCACGGACAACCAGCCTGCATTCAACTTGAATTCGACCAACAGTAGTTCTGCACGCTGGAGCATCGTGTCAAGACTGAGCGACTTGCTGCGCTCGACATTCCTGCAACTTGCAGAGCTGAGCGCTGCGGCCTGGAGTCGCGCCGCGGTGATCTCCCGCGAGCTCGCGAGTCGCGACGGCCCCTCGAGTCCTGGATGCCCGGAGCGTATGCTACATTGACATAGATCCGCAGCTAGATTTTTCAAAGCCCAAGGCCCTGTAGAAGATGGCCGGGATGTTCGCCCCGCCTATAGGCCCGGGCGAGGCCCGGGCGAAGCCCTTCAGTAATTCGCCACAACCTCGCAGCATCCTGTCAGGTTATGCACGGGACGGTGTTGCCCAGAAAAGTGAACCTCGAGACCCCCTCCCTTTCTGTTGTCGACAATTCTCATTACTGCACTTTTATGACTGCTGTTGGCAAATACCTACCTACCTACCTACCTACCTGCCTACCTACCTACCTACCTACCTACCTACCTACCTACCTACCTACCTAACCCACCCACCCACCGACCGACCTACCTACGCACGCACGTGCATGCGTACATGCACGCAGGCACCACGCATGCATGCATAGATACATACATACGTATGTACGTATGTATATTTGTTTGTTCGTTTTCGCGTATACGTACAGCACCATGTAGCTTGCAGTCCAAGCTGCATCACGTCGTCTCGATCTCGAGTCGCGGCGGCCCCGCCGGGAACGGGACCTTGACCTGCCAGAAAATCCCAGAGGCTGCCAGAAAGCTTCCCGCGAAAGCAGAAAACGGGTGGTCGTCAGGCGATGATCTCATTTCACCACGTCAGTGCTTAACGGAAAACACACTCGTCATTGTCATCGTAGCATAGGGATGTTCGTGCGAACCTGCTGCCACTGCCCAGCACTTCATTTGCACAGCGCGAGTTTTACATGAGTGCTGCCTCGAGCGTCCAGAACTCTTGCGCACATTGGGGTTGAATCGACCTCAAGGTCGCACCGGAAGGTCCATGGCGCTGGTCCGAGAACCCATGCCATCGACTGCAACACTGTTGTGCCAAGCGTCTCTTCTGCGCAGTTGCAAGCATGCATTTGAGCGTCTTTCCCTCGAGCTCATAGCCTTCCATCTCCTTCACGGCATCCTCTGCATCCTGTAAACTGAGCACAGCATCCATCTGTTCCCGTTCTGAGCCTCGCAAACTCTGCCTGCTTGTTGTAGAATCGCACGAAGGCGAAACCCTTGCGGTCGCCATTGGGATGGCTCGGCAAATAGACCTGCGGCCCCGGTGCACAGGAGCTGCTTTAAGATGCTTTACTTGGAGATTTGAGATTTGAGTTTCAGTTGCCGTCGAAGGGACATCTCCGACTCGGCCATACTTGCCAAAGAGCTTCTCCAGGTCTTCTTTCTCAACGCGGCTGGACACGTAGTCGATTTTCACCTTTACAGGCGATGGATCACCTGCTTCAGGATGCTAGAAAATGGGGCGACGGTGACAGGATGGACAATAGACAGTCGCGAAAGTGTTACTTTTGAAGGCTTTCGGTGGGTCTTTGGGGTATGAAGGCTTTTTCTGAAGGCTTCTTGAGGGCTGCTCCAACCAGTTGAACTTGGCCGAATCGACGAAGACCTGGTCCCCTATCGAACGAGGGACTGAGTGCATCTGCTCCACATCGTTCGGAATCAGATTCGACATGGCTTCAGATAGTGAAAGATGACAACAGAGATGTCTTGCAAACTGGAGCAATACTGCGACATCGCTGCCAGTGTTGGCAGTGATGCCATCATGCGGACATAGCTCGTCGTCAGGTTGGGTGGCAGCACTGAGGTTTTGGGTGGCGTTGGTCGTAGCTGGCTATGGCATCTCTGGGGCATATCCTCGGTAAGTCCGGCGACTTTGCGGCCCGAGCCCAAGCTGGTGAAGACTTACAGCTGGTAAGGATGGGAAGTGCGACAAGGGCGGCAAAGCGGTGCAGTCGGTGCAGTCGTGGTGGAGGCGTCCTTTTGAAACTCGAGAGATCCACGGCTTGGCATCTCTGCGAAGGAAGCAGGAAGGCTGGCGGCAATTCATCGGAATGCCAACAGCAAAATGCCTGCCCCGCTTGCTCCAGAGGCGTGCAACTAGCAGACAGAAACACAACAGCTTGCAATCGAATTCATGCAGCTGACCGCTGCGTGGAAAACTTGCATAGTGCCCCGAACCCACCGAAGACACCGTCGTCAGATACGGTTAATGCTGCAAGTGCTACACACCCCGAAACATGTTGACTTCCGTACCAATCTGGGGCATGTTTTGAGAAATAAATTCCGGGCATGCGTAGCCCTGTGAAAAATCTTGCAATATCTACAAAGCTTCCACTAAAACCGCCACGGTTTCGAATTCATTGCGGCTCTCGCCCACGCCGATCTCGATGTCCACAGGACTGCAAAGGCTGCTAGACGTCCTCCAGCTGCTCAACATCCCCTGCCCCCAAAGCTGAGGATGCAAATGTTGCAATGTTGGTGACCAAGTGTCTCTTTTTCGCAACCATTTTCCACCCCAATGAGCATTGGACGCGAGATAAGCAGCATGAGAAAGCACTGCAAAAGCAATCAGTTCCGTGACCAGCCCCCCATCATAACTACATGAACATGAACATGAAGACTAAAACCCTGGGCCGAGGAAAGAGCGCCTCGTGAAGTCGATTTTCATCTGGAATCGAACGACTGGGGCGGCATCCGTGGCAAACGCGACGGCGACTTGAATCGGGGATGGTCTACGAGTCTACAAGCATTCGAATCATGCTCCGTCCTTGTACTCGGGTTCCTGCGCCTTCACCTGCCCGCACAATCTTGCATCTGACTGCGACACCAGCAGGGAAAAGCAGGGCATATGCAATAAGGATGCAGTTCAGAATCGTGATATCGATTCATCCACAAATGCGAGAACTACGTTGTCGTCTTGACCCGGGCCACAAGAAGAAGCGGCCGAGAATTCAAGCGGCGCGAAGAATCAGACCAGGTATCCGTCATGAGAGTACTATATAATCTCACAGGTCACACCGTGCAGGCTGGCTCAAACACTCCTAGCAGCCATACTCACTAGCAAAGCAACTGTGCCATAAAGTCACCTAAGGACCTCACACCTATGCACGTTGCAGATACCAGTGAAAATTACCGTCCGAACAGTGAAGATCCGATGTCAGCGTGCAACGTGCCATTGGGACCAGAACCAGCTGCGCGTGCAAAAGTACAGATACCCCGCATGCACGCAGTCTACACCTGCGTAAACGAGAACCTAGCGAACGGTCCCTCCTTTTCGTTCAGGAGCATACAACAGACAGACAGACAGACAGACAGACAGCCAGCCAGCCAGCCAGCCAGCCAGGCAGGCTGATAGACAGACAGACAGGAGATATTTACTTGCTTACAAAATCTTACAAACATGCATGCATGCATACACAGGTACATGTCTCCATACATGCGTCTGTAGATATATATATATATACATGTAAGTATGTATGTATGTATGTATGTATGTATTGTACATACATACATACATACATACATACGTACACACCCATGCATGTACATGCAGGCGGGCGAACAGAGACAAGGACAATGCAGACTTTTACATTGCTTTGTAACACTTGCACTCGGTGGGCAGGCGAGGAGTCTGGGCAGGGCTAAGTACGCCTTACTTGCTTACACACATAATGACACCCATGCGTATGTCTAGCTGGAACCTCCCTCAGCGGCCCGTGACACCTTGCGCCGACGCCGGCGCCGACGAGGGGGAGCTGGGCTGGCATCTTGAAAGCTGTCACGGACAAGCCTCAGGCGGCGGAGGAACATCGGAACATGCTGCCTCTCTGTTGCTCTTCTTGTCTCTTCTTCACGCCGCATCCTGGCGCAACTGTTCCTGCTACGCATGGACTCACTACAGTACTTCCGACGTTCGTGCTTAATACAATCTACTGCTGCTGTGCCTGCTGGTGCCCTTGCCACTGCTCCGACAGGTCCGTTGGGCACCACCGTGAGCTACTTCATTCACTGCTCGTTACTAGCAGCAACCAGCACTTCGTGCGGCTACTCGGGGTGGATACGAGGCACGTAAGCTTCTAAATCCGAGCAGGATTCATAGAAGACGAAGCTAGTCGCAAGCTTAGGTGCGACTCCATCTTCGAGAGCTTCTCGGCTGCAGAGTTGTGATCGTCCATCAGCTGTTGCCTTGGTAGTCCCGCTCTGGCACTCGCTGCTCGACGCTGTAGCTTCCGGTCTGTGCCGAGTTGCAAGGTGTAGCGAACGAAGCGTGTGGCAGTCTTCGAGTCAAAGGCCCAGCGAGCCAAAGTCCTCTTAAACTCGTCCGGATCCACCGTCTGATTCCTCGGTTACTCTTCCGTCCGAAACTGCCTTGGGCCTCCAAGTCTGGCTCTGGCTTCTGTGAGGCTCTGGTTGTGGTCCAGCATGGTGAAGAGCTGTTCGAGATCCGTCTGGTCGATGTCCATGACCCGAAGCCGGTGTTGAAACTCTCGGACCCTCTCAGCACCTCAGGGATCCTCCAACAAGTTTCAGGGAGGCGGGGGGAGCCCTCCGCGCCTTTAACCAGCTCCTGCCAGCTCAGCTGGCCGTCGTTGTCGCTGTCGATCTTGGCAAAGATCTTGTCCAATTCCTGCAGTTCCTCCTCCGCGTCCTCATCCATCTCCTGCGCCATGCTCGTCACGTCCTGCGAAGATTTGTCTTTTGCATCGGAGCACTTCAGCTTCGTGGGCCCTCAGCCTTGGTGCGCTGCTCCGCGAAAGTGTCAACCACAACCGCGACCACCAGGTTTAGCCTCACAGAAAGCCGAATCTGCCGCCGGAACATGAAGGGCTTCAGGGCTCCCGCGAGACGACATCAACGACACACACGTCCCAAAGAGGCTCAGCGCTGTCAGTCGAAGCCACTCTCATGCAGAAACTGGACAATGATGACGACGAGATCAACATGATTCATGCCAGAAAGTCGCAGGAAGCGAACTGAGCCGCGGGCACGCCAAAGACAATGGAGAGCTGGGAACCGATAAAGATTGGGATGGCGATCCAGGGATGGCTTTCGATGAGCGGCACGGCCACCTCAGGATCGATGTACCGGAAAGCAATGCTAAACATTCAATCTTTTATATGCTGTGCACGTAAATCACATGCCCAACCTACGGCACTGCTTACGCGAGGCTACCAGCTCCTCAGGTTATGCTACATGGCATGTGCTCGAGCGTCTCAAACTAGTGTTCAAAGTGCTATGCGATCAGTCGCTCTCTGCACCCTTCGTTTCTCTGAAAGTGCTGCCGGCTCCGCCTTGCCCCAGCTGTCCCCAGCCACGACAGTTTTGAAGAGGAGCAGGTCCGCAGACATCACGGATTGAAGAGAGCGGCGGCAAAACTCGCAGTCTTCCCAGTGACTCGCCAGTTCTGGCATGTAGGGGTTCAGCAATTCTACGGCGAGCATGGCCCAGCTCGTCATCACCACGAAGCCTCAGCAAAAGAAGGCAAGCCTTGCCAAACTCCGCACTGAAACTGGTTTCGGTGTCCAGGGAGCAGAAGAGGAAGGACCAGCACAGCGTTTTGAAGCAGGAGGCCTCAAGCTCACAGAAACAGACATGCTCTTAGATGAACTGGCTGGACTCCTGACTCTGTGGATGGGCTTCTGAGCAGGTGACGGTCATCCGGATCAGTTTCCGCAGCTCCTTCAGCATGGCGAACTTCCGGAAGAGCCGGAAAAGCCGCATAATTCGAACCACACGGAGCATGCGGAGGATTGTGACTTTGTCCAGGGAAACTCCAATGAAGCCGAGCAGGAGCTGCACGAGCCCAAAGATCACGATCAGCATGTCCTCTTTGCATGCGATGCCCATGACTGCGCGTGTTTGTGCGTGTGTCCTGTCCTGTCCTGTCCTGTGCCGTGCAGTGCGACACTGCGCAGTACTACGCGGCACTGCACTGCATTGCACTCCAATGCACTGCACTGCTACTGCAATTGAACCGTAGTGTACGCTCTCGCAACTCGGACTCCGCCAGACGAGGTCATTGAAACGTATTGTAAGGTTCCTGTACTGCCAAATCCTGCATTCATGTAATCCAAGTGTCGTGTGAACTGCAGCAATCTGCATCTTGGGAGTGTATCCGGGAAGCTCTGACAGACCGGCTTCTCAACATCGGGGCTAGCAAAGGCAGAGCGTAGGTGAGCCTTTAGAATGTACTCTTTGCCGAATCGCAGAGTCAACGGCATCAGCGTGTGTGTGTGTGTGCCGTTCATGTACTGTCAAAAGATGTAGGTGTAATGTCATATGTTAATATCATCTTCAGGTATGTTATTGCAAAGTGTTTGATGTAATGCTGATGCAATGTTAAGTGCTGTTAATGTACCGTGAACATGAAGTGAATGCAAAGAAAAATGTGATGTTACTGACAGGCAGAGGCATGGAGCATGCACTGTATGTATGCATGTATGTGAGTATTTATGCATCTGTGCGTGTATGCTGTCTCTCCCTGCCGCTGCATGCGTGCTGTATGTCTATATGCTTGGTACTGGCTGCCTGCAACTATGCATGCATGCGTGCATGCACATGCATCGCAAGTCTCGTATGTACCGTATGTACATGCATGTCACGCCTGCAAGTATGCGTGCGCGCGTTTGTGTGTGGGTGCATGTGCACATACATACATCCATCCATCCATGCATGCATGTATGTATGTATGTATATGGATGGATATATATATATATATACAGGTGTGTGTGTGTGTATGTGTGTATATATATATACCAGCATGCGGGTAAGTATGCGCGCATGTACAAGTGTAAATCAACGTATGTGGAATACGATTGCGTCTGCATGTTCACTATGTATGCAAGTGTAACAGCAAGTATGTGCATTCACATCCATGCATGCACGCGCATGTGCATGCATGTGACATGTGCGTGTGCGTGCGCGTGCGTGCGTATGTGTATGTACGAACGTACGTACGTGTGAGCGAGTGAGTGAGTGAGTGCGTGAGTGTGTGTGTGTGTGTATGTGTGTGTGTATCTGTGTCTGTGTC